CTTGAACTGATAGATTTTCATGCTGTTTCTGCCCTTCTGATAATCTTCCCTTGCGAACAGCAACACGCATTTGCAAGTTTTGCATTCCCACCATGATCCAGGCAGTGGACCTTTTTAGCTTGCTCCATGACGAGCAACGCTCTATTGCTCGGCTTAAGGGATCAACGGGTTTAACTTCTGTAGCCAGGACGCATTTCAGTTCTGGATCAGTATTCTTCAAGGTAAACTGTCCTATGTCTTTCTCATACCATTCACTCTCGTCCCGCCACAGGAATTTTGGACCTTTAATCCATTTTTCGCTGTCCAGAAACGCCTTCACCGACGTTCCTCTAGAGCAAACATCTGCGGGATTACATGCAGTCCTTACGTGCCCCCATTGACTTGGCGCAGAAGCTTCTCTAATAAGGTCTACACGGTTAGCAACAAATGTATGAAATCTAGCCTTGTCACTTTTAATGTAACTCAACACCGTGGTACTATCCGTCCAAAATCGTGACTCAATAACTGGCATCTGAAGCTCTCTTCGCAACATGGCATCTACTCTGACTGCTACAGCAGCAGCAGTGAGTTCCATTCTGGGAATTGTAGCAATTTTTAACCGAGCAACTCTTGACTTTGCAAGAATTAGCCGACAATGAACATCACCATTTTTGTTCAAAAACCTGATGTACGATGCCGTTCCATAACCGAGCTCACTGGCGTCCGAGAAATGGTGCATCTGTGCGGAGATTTGACTTCCAAATCCATGCGGTTTCAAACACCTGCTTATCCTGAATCTTTCCAGATCACTGACTTCCGATGTCCATTTCGACCACCTCTCCGATTCTTCCTCAGGTATCTGTGCATCCCAACCCAGTTTCTTACGACAAAGTTCCTGAAGTATTTGTTTTGCTTGGAGAATTGCAGGCAAGACATAACCTAGGGGATCATATATCGAGCTTAACGTAGATAACACCCCTCTTCTAGTAGTTGGCTTAGTTGTCAAATTAATCTTGTATCTGAACTCATCTGATTCAGCCGACCAAAGAACACCCAACGTCCTTTCGGTAGGTAATATCGTCAAGTCAACATCCTTTACATTTTTGGCTCTTTCACAGATGGGAATAGACTCTATCACCTCTCGTTCATTACTCATCCACTTGGTCAATCTAAAGCCATTTTCTTTACAAAGATTCCT